GTCCTTTTGAGCGGAATTCTTGATAACCCTCCACACTCCACGCTGGCGTTCTTACCCCACCTCCCATCACCCTTGTGCTAAAACGGTTGATCAGAGTTTGCCATATTGCTACGCAGTCCTCCTTCGATAGCTCTTATCAGAGTCTTACTCTTGACCCGAAAAATCTGTCTGCTATCTCCCTGGTTCAAGTATTTCACTCGACGATGCCACCCCATCTGTGCTACTTGAGGCGTTATTACACATCTCCTGAGTCTGGGAGACTAGCTTGAAGCTAAAGGCCTTGAGTAATTCTCATGGTCAAGCCTTTGCTTCATGGACCACGTCTATGGTAAAACAGGCCTACTGTCAGCCGACTAGATCCAGTCTCCGCCGCGTCTATCCTGTTTCTATCCCTAATACCAAGTCTATGACTTGCTAGGCCAACCGACAAATGTTGTGATACTGCTTGCTTTAATTAGGTTCAATGTTCAACCACAACGTTTGTGGCTTGGCACACAAGAGACCAGGACAGAGCAAGTCATATACTTGGTATTAGGGGTAGAAACAGGATAGATGAGGTGTAGACTGTAGCTAGTCCGCTGACAGCAGGCCTCTTTTACCATAGACGTGGTGCCTGTAGCAAAGGCTTGACCATGAGGCTTACCCGGAGCCTTTAGCCTCGAATTAGTCACCCTGACCTAGTATTATATATTTGATCTTAATAGCAAATACAATTTGCATCATGGTCAATCCTAACACAAAATTAGAAATGGAAAAGGCCCAACGTGCCTTGAAATTCACCTCTGCCCTGTAACATAAAGGCACTAATGTGGTGGTTAACGTTTCCAGACCATAGGCTGCAATACAATGATCTGAGTCCGAGCCCCGCATGGGTTACTGATGGTAACAGTTTGGGCGAAGCTGAAACTGCAGTTCAGCCCAGTCTGAATAAAAATAGCTTTTTGGAAAGAGGGCTATGTGAAATCCAATGAAATCGTGAGGCCAACTCGTGTGATAGTCTCTCATTCAATGCTAGTACGGAAGATTAATCGAAACCCGGTTAAACTTCGTAGCATAAAATAAGTCTGGTGGCTTCCAGATATGATAGTTTATGATCTCTGTGCCTATGATCAAATGAAGGCTACCAGGGAAGAGGAATCACTGGCAAGATACAGGACCACAGCCTCATTAGCTCCATCTATCTAGCCTTTATCTGAATTGCATACCTGAATCAACCTGACTGTAAAGAGACGAGACTTCAGTGCCGAGCTTCGAAGACTCGCCTGCGGGTAGGGAACTGTTGTGAAAATTTGCGCCAGCACCATTTATCTCATTTAGCAAGAAATCTGGCGATCCGCTACAAATGGGTTCTCGATCAGACTGAGTCTTTCTCAGGCTCGCTCGGACGGGACTCGAGCCCCATCTTGCTGAGACGGCCCGGCTGCCGGGTGACGGATTTGCAAATAGAGAGCCGGTACCGGTTGGAAGCATGTCGGGCCGACGAGGTCTCACTAGGCGAGCAGGCAACTGTTCCTGCGAATGGGCTGCGTGAGGGACGCCAACAGAATGGGAATCTGGGTCACCAGTCGGTCTTGATAACCAGGAAGCTCTTCCATCAGCTCTATTCCTCTTCTCTTCGATCTTCACTCTGGACCACTTTATCTCGCTTATCCGCTCGTTTTTCTCCTCTCCGCTGTCTTCGTTCACCTCAGCCTGAGCATCAGCTTCAAGTGCCACCTCTGCTTTCTCCTCCCAATCGCCAGAGTCTACGAATGCGACAGCGAGGCAGCCACTGGCAGGGGCTGAAGCATTGAGTGTGTCAGATTGGGCAGATGAGGCGGCGGTACCAGGGCAGTTGACGAAGTTGACAGTTCTGGCTGTTCGGTACACCTTTGAGGGCGTGCCAGGCTGACTAGAGGAAGAAGAGGGAGGCTGAAAAATATTAAGAAAAAGTGGGATCAGAAATTATCAGAAATTCTT